TAATTAAAAGTATAAATACTGTCATATAGTAAAACCTGTTCTGCATATAAATTTAGCTGGTTACACTAAAGAATCTCTAATTCATCCTCTCGGCACAAAAGTTATTCAGTAAAATGTAAAAAACGCCAAAACAGTTGAAAACATTGGGAAGTATCGCCTACATTAAAACAGCCATAATTCTTATTACCACAGAGGGCAGTGCTGAGAGGGCAAGTGTGTGGACACTTCAGCCTTGTATTTCATTCACTTTGGCATCAGGCAACACCTTGCACCTGAAACGCTTTGAGGTTGAAAGTCGGATATTTCAACTCGGACATTTCACAGTTCTGAGCAGTCTGGAATGCGGCAAAAGATCCCCAATTTATTTCTATTTTATTCAGTTCCTTTCCTTTCTTTTCTCATCACTGATTGGCTCTTCCTCAGTTACCTGATTGAGTTCACCTGTCCACACTTTGAATAAGAATTGCCCTCCCTTTCACTCATTCTTTCACTTTCACATGAGGTGGCAGTTCCAGTAAGAGAATTTTAATTTCACTCTTTAGTTTTGGACTCTGTGTCCATGGTTATGAAAACATAGTTTAGGTGTGTATTGTTCCTTATTTCCTTGAGATGGACATGTGAGTTTAGTTTCTAATCTTATGGTTTTTTTTATTTGAGATTGAACAACCTATGTGTGTTTTTTCCCTGATTATGTCGACAGATGCAACCTCAAAGTTCGAAGAAAGAAAAATGGTGTTCACAGAAGTTTCCTGGCTTACTTCTATGAATTCTGGCCTATGCTCCAATTATAATAGAAAATGTACCTTTTGAACCTCCTACTTTACAGCAACAGACTCACGTTCAGTGTCAGTGAGCTAAAACAGTATCGCAAAGAAGCAAGCAATGGCAGAGAGGCAGTGGGGAGAAACAGCTGTAGAGTCAGAATAGTTTTAAAACTAACTCTGTGAATTAAGGGTTTATTTGACCAAACCAGAATTGGACAGTAGACAGACTAACAAAAACAATTTTGGCAAGTTTTATTTTGTTTCTGAGTATGACTGAAGTATGTTTTACTATCAGTTAACAAGGCAATTATAGATAGTCTTGTCATTTGATGTCCCATGTGACATATGGATTATGGTGTCTAACATTGTCTGTAACTGTGAACATATCTTTACACTATAGGCCTACGTTAAATTTGATACTGTACCCATCAAGGTGGCTGCATGAGAAGTAAATACTACACTGTTTGAGGTGAAACCATAGTGTATATAAAGATTAACTACTTGACAGCTCCCCAAAAGTGAAGCCAAAACATCTAAACGGTCCCCTGGTGGTTGGATGCAGTACAGGTCATTATGATAGGCTACTAGGGATCCTGAGGGGTTAAATCACCTGACTGCACAATGATCTGTGAAGGCAACAAACCACCCTCCATCCTAATGCTCACAAAAAATATAGTGTCAACAGATCTACATGTACCTTAATCTCTTTATTAATGTTATCTGACCTGCTTACGTGCTCTTATGTAAAACGTGCGCTGAACCAACAAGTTTATGCAGCAAAGTTGAAATTCACTCTGCTTGAAAGCCATAAAATCAGTCACTGCTTCTCTGCTTTGAGAACTCATGTGAACACAGAATATGTACAGCAAGGAAATCCTCATCAAAGCATTTCTAACTCATAATTATGTTGACTGGACAATTCTGTTTAGCTATCACTTCTGGTAGTTCTAACAATTAAAAGAAACTACTACACAGATTAATGCCAACATATAGGTTAACAGCAACAGACTCTCGTTCAGCGAGCTAACAGAGTATCATAAGTAGTACCAGCAACTAAAGAGCCAGAATAGTTTCACATCTAACTCAGTGTATTAAGGGTTAATTTGACCAACAGTGGAAAGAGAAACCAAGACGTTTTTGGTGAGTTTTATTTTGTTTCTGTCAAGTTTAATGAAGTGTGTGTTACTATTAGTTAGCAATGCAATGAAGATAGACATTTGAAGCAGACTCATGTTTTTGTGGATTTAGTAATGCTTCATTCAATGTCTAACATTGTCTGTAACCTTTACACTAGCTCTATGCTCACTTTGAAACTGTAACCATCACGGCAGCTGCATGATAAGTAAATAAAACCAGAATAATACTGAGTCTCTTCTCTGTATATTACTCAACACTGTATATAAAGATGGACAACTTGGCAGCAAGTACAGCTGAAAGATCTTGATCGCCCCCTGGTGGCCAGTTTGCTGAAGCACTCCTCTGACAGCAAGCTGGTCTTCACTGATTCACTCACAGAGACAGATAAACACAAACATATAGATGGATAGATTTTTTTTTCTAAATCTAGGAGCATGGTCAGTCAAGAGGTTTTACATTACACAAGTCAAAGATATGTAGCTTGCATGAGCTTCCCAAGGGGAGAAATCTTTACAATGATGATGGCTCATGCTCCTTCCTAAATGTTCTCTACTTAGGAAAGTACTGATAGGTTAAAGCATATAAGTACTGCTTGATGCTTCTTGTGAAATTCTAAATACATGCCACAATCGTTAATCCTACTGTATGCTTCGTTTTTTTACCTTTTGTTTTGATTTGTTTAGAGAAGGTTTTACAAGTATATTGGTACATTTTGTCAGCACATCCTGCTTTTCTTTCAGGTAAACATACCTTCCCATCTGGAAAGTAATAATAATAATCCTTATTTGTAGAGCACTTTTCAAAAACAAGTTACAAAGTGCTTTAACAAGTGTAAAGAATAATACAAAAAAAGATAAGAGCATGAAAATTTAATATAAAATTAGTAAAATACAATAAAATAAAAGGGATAAAATAAAGTCAAATAAGATCGGGAAAAGCTCTCCTATAAAAGTATGTTTTAAGAAGGGACTTAAAAGAGTTCACTGACTCAGCCGACCTGAAAGTACCCAAGTATCCTACTGTTGGGACCACTGGGACTTTGTTTAAAAAGTCAGCATTAGAGCCTTGAGCGCCTTTCTGCACCACCATGTAGTGTTAAGTACCAATTAAGGCCTTGGCCAATCAGCAAAGAAAGTGTTGCTCATGTCAGTTGCCTCCTTGCCAGGATATATTTGATCTCCTTTTCGATTATTCAATCCTGGATTTCTTGTTTAAGAGACTTTTTGTGTACTGACAGATTCTGTGTGTCTGTAAGTCCTGATAATAACTTGAGTTGAGTGGTTTGCAGATATTACTGTTCTGATTTAATGCCTGTTAAATCCAGGCTTTGTTAAGTTAATTTATTTTGTGAACAGTCCTCATTTATTTATTTTATTCAATGTATGTGTGGTTCACTTCATACAGTCAAAAGGCTTTAGTGCAGTAATTTTGCTTTCATAATTGAGTAAGCACTTTGTTTGCTCATTGTTATTGTTTTGATATTATATTTCAGTTAAATTTATATTTTCTGTTTAGTGTAGTTAAATAGTAGCTTTATGTAGGTGGAATGGTGGGAAATTGCACAATTGGTAAAATAATTAATTCTTGATATTTCTTTTTATTATATTGCAGAAACCACACGTCAGTTCACAGATATAAATCTGAACTAAGTCGAACACAGAGTGGCTTGTGTTGTTAACAAAGTGCCATTTGGGGACGTCTTCTTCACTTCTTATCAGACTATCTGTGGTGACTGCATTTGCATTCAAGTAACTGCACAAAGGGATTTTTTATTAACAAGAGGTCTTAAACTTGGGCTCACACAACCAACACATTCTCAATCACAGACTTCACAGATTAATTTGTTAATTTGTGTGTCCTAAACCACTGAGACATTGAACTCTACTTTTACCTACTATTGGTCCGTGAGACCTGACCCATGATGTCATGTCAACTTGTCAACAAAACAGCAGTTCTGCTGCAGACCTCTCTGTTTTCCCTGGACCAAGCTGCAACCTCCTGCTCTCATGGATAAAGCCATCCTTCAGTGCCTTAAACCTGCATTCTTACTAACAGCCAGCAGGGGGTGACTCTTGTGTTTGAAACAAGAAGTCTGGTTCCATTAGAAATAATGGCATAATTACCATAGACTGTATATGATAATTAATCCACTTCCCAGCTGATTTATTGCCTCAGTAAACACTTTATGACACTTATGAGTTTATAATATAATAATGAGTCTCAGTTGCTAGTTTTAAGTTCTTCAATACAACACGATGTTCATTTAGTAAATTATGGTCCCATTTAGGGGACAATAGGCGCTAGCATGGCAAACTGTTCAACAGACCAGAGTGACTCGTATTCGCTGCACAGTGTAAATTTAATCAGTGCTTTTGAAAAGGCTTATTAGGAGTCGGATGATCATTTTTTACTGTAAGTATGTTTTGTTTGAAGCCTGGTTTTAGCTAGCCAAAATCAGCATCCTGGGTTGATGGAAATTACAGATGCATGTTGATTTGAGGTTTCAAAATGGCAGTCTACAAACCAATGGATTATGTCACCATGATTACGCCACTTTTATATTTACAATCAATAAAGAAGTTCAATCAATTCAAACAATCAATGTCGGCCACCGCCCTCCTGACAGTCCCCAAACATGTTTCTGAATGGACTGTGATGTCAGAGCAGGCTTTGGCAGGTGGAGCAGAACTCAGAGCTGAAAACCTCTGACACAGAGAAATGTCAGGGCAACGCATAGACAAACATCCACTCACATTCACACCCAAGGACAATTTTAGAGACACCAATTAACCTAGCCTGCATGTCCTTGGATGGTGGGAGGAATCCGGAGCACCCGGAGAGAACCAACACAGACACTGGGAGAACAAACAAACTCCACACAGAAAGGCCAGGGCAACCAGGGTACGGCCTTCTTGCTGTGAGGCCACAGTGCTAACCACTGTGCCACCGCGCTGCCCCTGTCCAGTAGTTAAATTTTCCGAATGAAAAACATCTGCATATTCACAGCTTCTGAACTTTTTATCATGGGAGAAGGAGTAGATTTTTTACAATGTAACTGAACTGTATTAGGAGGGAAAACATCAGAAATTCACACATCTCACAAGTTGGAAGAATGTTTTTATATGTCTTTTTATATGTTTATGTCTAAAACATTTCTGGAGGGAATCTTTAAGCAATACATACAACAAAGAGATCCTCATAGCACTAGAAGTATTAAGTAGTACTAGTATAAGTAAGCAGAATATTGAGGTCAAACTACATTTCACTGGAAGCTGATGAGAAATCTTTCCTATCAATAAGTTTTTTTCATTTGCTTCAAGGAAAGCAAATCAAATTGTGAAAATTCTAATTAACGTGAAAAAAAGTTCCAAAATGTTGCATTGCAGATCCATTCTTCTTCAGTTCATCTTGTCGTTTCTGAGCTCACGTCTCAACACTTTCATAGATAACTCTGGTGACAGTCTGTATTGGTTGAAGAGCTAGATTTAAAAAAAGCCACACACACCCACAACAGAAAAAAAAATAATGTTAATACCGAATAAAATAATTAGTTGATCATTTGAATTAAAAGTGAATACAAAGTAGTCATGACAATGAAAAACAAACAAACTAACAGCAGTTAGTGCACTCTGCAGTTCCGAGTCCGACAGCTGAGAAAACGACTCCAATTCCACGTTCATGGCAAGAACATAATCTGTTAACATAAATATATTTGTAATAAAATAATACACATAATATAAAGTATTCAACATCACTTGCAGTAAAATAACCATAAATAATAACTTTGCATGACCTTATAAATTTAGTTATCATATGATATACAAATTGACAAAACACAAAAAAGTCTCACATGTAATTTTTGCACACAATACTATTGTGAAAACTTGTAAAATCACATTTAAATTGTATGTATTTATAGAACTGTAAAGTAGGGTTTTTCAATAATTTATTCTCTGGTTTTATATAAATATTAGGAAGAACAGACTCGTTTCTGTTTTAGCAACAGTTAAAGCAGATTACAATCAATTACATTCAAGCTAATACATTTATGAATTGGGCACTCAAGGCAAAGGCTCAGACATGTAATGAATGTAACAAATGCAAATACTTACTAGGGCCTTTGATTGTAGGACAAAGAGTCAGAGATGTTTGTTTACAAGGAAAGAGAAATGAAAATGAATTGATTGAATTTCAGTGGCATGATATATCATAACTTAAATACAATGGAACATTTTTATTTTATGCAAATAATCAATTAAAAATAATGACAAGAAATGACAAGGTAACTTTATGTAATGAAAGAAGAAAAGACAACATCAAGTTAACTTAACATGAACAAGGAATAACAAAAACTTTCAGGTGGAAAAGCAAAATACTATTACTGCTAGTAAGTACTATTAAATGTCCAGTAGCTTTCCAAGCTGCAAAAACTAAATGTTATGCCTGGTTAAATACACATTAATGAAGTCTTACCAGTGGCTGCAGTAACGCTCACTCCACTGCTTAAGATGTTCTCAAACACAGAGTAGAGAGTGAATGTGTATCTAGTTCTAGCAGTGAGAGATGAGACTGTGTAAGTTACTGGTCCATCTCCATCTGGTGCAGTGATGCTGATCTCTGCATCATTAAACTGGAGAATAAAGCTGATGTTGTTGTTCACTTTGTTCCACTGCAGAGTGATACTGGTGACATCTTGTCCTATTGATCTGAATTGTTTTGCGTTTGGAGGAGCTGAGAGAGACAAATAGAGCAGTTAAACAGTGTCAGTAAAATTGATAAAGTTAAAGTTAAATATGTATCACTACATAAATACAAACTAATCCTGTCTGTCAAGAACAGAGCAAGTGAAAATATTCTTTTTATTATTAAGAATGTTTTTTTCTGGATCCAGACGTCACATTCTGTAGTCATATCCATCACACTTTATATCACAACAGAGATGTACTCCACAATAAATGAAGAATCACAATGTACCAAAAGTTTAAAAAAGTAAATATTCTTAAAGTAAACAATATTTTACCGGTAACTGCAGTAATGTTTACTCCGCTGCTTCTGAAGTTCTCAAACACAGAGAAGAGAGTGAATGTGTATTCAGTTGCAGCAGTGAGAGATGAGACTGTGTGAGTTACTGGTCCATAATAATTATTTGGTGCAGGGATGTTGATCTCTGCACCATTAAACTGGAGAATAAAGCTGATGCTGTTGTTCACTTTATTCCACTGCAGAGTGATACTGGTCTCATCTTGTCTTATTGGTCTGAAGTCTTCTGCGTTTGGAGGAGCTGAGAGAGAAGAAGAGAAGGGAATGAATTTATCAACAAACAGGGGAACAACTCTGGGGAAATAAAGGAATTTTTCCTCAATGGATTTGGTTTGATTTACTGAAACAAACACAATTGTCAATCCCAACGTCACGTGGTACATTCAGCACACCACTCCATGTGACCCGCAAAAGGTGATGACTCAATCAAAAGAATTAACTCAAGTTTAAAATGTAAATATAGCCATCAATGACTAAATCATTGAGAGCAAAACAAAAGCTTCCTTTATCATTGCATATTTGCAACTTTGCATATTTAGGCAGCTTTTATTTGACAACACTGTGGACCGGCCCAGATTAGGCTGCATTCTCCGATCAACCTCTGTCATACTCAGGCCAAGGTTGATTACATGGTCTGTAACTTGCCTGTATCTCTCAAGATATTTTGGCTCTTCCTCATCCTCTTTGCACACTCTGCCTCTTCCTCTCCCCCTCACCATGCCACCCCACACTAATGCCCGTCCTTAGATGGACTTTTGCCGCTGTTTGTCTCCTGCATGCTCCATATTCCACAGCTGAGTGTTATCCTTGCAGTATAAATGTGTTTGAGAACTGATTGGTTATGAGTTTCGCCTGTGAGCTAAATTGTGAGGAAATTGAATTGTTCCCCATCTGGCCTAAGTCTATCTATCTGACAACTTTACAACAATACCACGTAACTATTATGTATCTAATATATGTGTGACAAGTTATTGTGATTGTTGGTCACTCTATTTAGCATGTAGGGATTTACACAATGAACATGTGTATAATTACATTTGAGGGAAATATGATTCAATAGCTAACAAATGGAAAGTTTTTATAGTATTATCACGGACACGGACCTTCCTGTTGGTATGTGTGTGATTGTAGTTTTTGAGTTAATTTTCCCCTTGGTGTGTTTTGGTTTTTGTCTGTCTCTGTGTTCTGTTTCCTCCCTCATGCTCTGGGGCTGCTGGTGGGCGTGGTTGCCTGAGCTCCAGTTTACTCACCTGAAGCATATCCAGTTAATTAGCACACCAGTGCCTCTGCCTACAATCAACTCACCTTTAAAAGACCAGCCCAACCTTCCAGTCTCCACCAGATTGTTGTACCTCATAGTATGAACACGCCAGCCTGTTTGGCTATCCTGAACTAATCAGCATCTTGTGTTAGTGTTAACTTGCTTTCTCTGTCTCGACCACAGAATACCTGCCCATGCACGACTTGGATTCCCTCCTGTGCCACGGAAACCCCTGAGCTCTGGAACCACATGCCCCTTGGGACAACCACCCATCCCCAAGCCATACCTGTCTCTCACTTGTGTACAATAAATCCTCTCATTGCTCATACTCTGGTCTGCGTCTTTCTGGCCCCGGTCCTGACACGGCAAGGCTTACTCAGTGCAATTTGTGCTAAAGAAGTCATAAATGACTATCGTCATGTGAACAATAGCAAATAGTGATGTAGTTTTAAGTCTAATAGTCATTCAACTATTTTGCCAAAGCGATTGAGAAAACTGTAATTAGTGGGCTAACTTTAGAGCCAGCAAGAATTGCTGCACGAATATATATGCTCCTCAATCAAATATGATTTTAAACACGCCTAGTAAAAACTTTGAAAATCAATATGTGGCGGTCAGTGTTGAAATAATTTGGACAATTACAATTGTCCAAATTATAGGCTAATTATGGGAAACACTGCATTCACTACCACCCCCCTTCACCACCAAACAAAGCTCTGTCTCCCAGCAAGGAGTGTTTTTACAAAGCATAGGCCTAACGTTTCTTAACACCAGCAGCTGAAATAAAAAAATAAAGCAAGTAAATCCCGACTTTTACACAGCTGTCTGTTTTTCTGCACATGTAGCCTGTTTATAAGAGCAGTATTCAAGTTGCTGTGCTGTTTCGGCAGAAGCTTCAATAAATCAGATGTAGAAATGTTTGTGGTTGCAAGCTTTTTGCTGATTTACACTAGAGGACAATGTTCTTTGCATCCGACTGTGACACAATAATGGCAGCAGCTACTTATAGCTGTGGACAGAACGCCTTTCTCCCTCGTTCTATTTTCTTCCTTTAGTTTTGTCTATCGGCGTACAACAAATTCAATTTGTTGTTTTTCTTGTTTTGAAACATTATTTTTTATAAATGACATTTAGCAGAAGAACAGTAAAAACACAAAACATTCTTGTTTCTGCTTTAACAGACTTGCCCAGGTACATAAATCTAAATTCAGTGTGAATCTGATCTTAAAGGTACGAATTGCTAACATATAATTTAAACTGCCTTAATGCAACAATGAATCTTTATACAGTACATGAGTAAATAAAATGCATTACTTGTTGAGTAACAGATGAACGGTAAAATGAGGGAGCAGTTATCATCTGACCACCGTCCTGAGTTTCTGAACACTGTGGTGACACACTGCTCTGGACTGTCTGGTTGCCCATTGGCCCAATTTTGAAACATAGAGGGGCTCCTATCAGACCACAGTTGTTCCTGGTGCAGACCGATCCACACAGAGTCCCCAGTAGCCAGGTTTGTGATGATGTCATTTTCTGCCCGATTTCGTATACTGCAAGAGAAACAGTAGTATATACACATCAAGGGTGAGTTGAGTATAACTGAAAAGGTAAACATAAAAGAAAGAAGAAAGTCCAACACTGCAGTGCATTGTTAGTGATTGTTGGGAAATATAATATTGTAGTTTATGAGATTATGTAAGGATTTGGTCACATGACATAGTAGCTGTTAATTAAAATCTTAAAATCAGTGCAACATAATCATCTTACAATTAAGGTCTATTATCTGTACTATACTTCCATCAGTAATACTACTCGTAATCATCACAATGATCATCATCATCATCATCATTCTACGTATTCAGCTCCAAGTGCCTTAGTCATAACACAAAGGGTGAAAAATATCTATCTTACAAGCAAATTAATGAATAAATAATAATATTAAATAAAGACAATCAGGAAGGGAAGGATTCAAATAACAAAAAGGATCAAATAAAACAGTTGGACAGATTTTATAATCTATTTAGGATTCAATCAATTGTCACAATACTAAATAAGCTGAATCAACAGAACAGATAGTAGTTGTTGCTTCAGTACTGAACTATTGTATGTGTTGGAGTCTTCATCAGCGCACACTGTACCTGGCTAGATCGACGTAATTCTCCCTGCAGTATCTCTGAGCTTCAGTCCAATTCAAAGGTGTGTCGACTTTTACAAAGGATAACGTGCCATTTACTGAACCTGGAAATATATTGATGAAGAGAAGTTATTGACAATGTGCCATGCAGAAGGTCTCGTTTACTCTTACGCTATAAGAAAACTCACCGTTGTAGCACACAAAGTTGAAGTGGTCGTTGCAATTAACGTCCACCCATTTTCCACTGTAGCCATAGAAATATATATAATCTTTGAGCAGCACACAGTTCTGTCCAATAGCAAGGTAGGGATGTCCAGGAGCCCAGTTTCTAAACCCTGTGTCTCCTTCACCATAGAAGCTGCTGTCACTCAGGGACCATCTCCAGTTGTCACCATAGAGGCCTATCCAAGCCTTGCCTGTTCAAACAGATGTTCATTATATAACAGCTGGAATTAAAATAGTTGCTGAATTGACCTAAAATGTAGATGAATAAACTGAACATCCCTTAATTTATGTGTCTCCTCTTTTTTTTATTGAGGGCCTTTGTTGTTTTTCATATCACCCTGCTGCCTTCTGGCAAATAAATGTACCTACCATATTTTATTATTTCATCTAATCACATTAACTTTATCAAAAACCTGGTTTGTATATGATTAAACATCAGTATATATAGACTATGTTTATGTTTTGTATATGTTTCCAATATTGAGAACTTGCCTCTGTAGCTCGGTGTGGTGCTGAGTATAGCATAGACTTCAGCATGACTTCTTATGGTGGCCAGGTCAGTGTAGACCCGTCTGCAGAAGCTCTGAGCTTCAGTCCAGTTCAGTGGCGTAGCCTCAAAGTAAAACTGACGAGTTCCTAAAACAAAGCATATTCAGTTTTTTTCATTACTTACTTTTTATAAAGCGTGTAGACTCTTTTACTGTGAACATGAAGAGGCACTGTGAATCAGGTGGGTTCAGCTTTATTGTGGAGTTTTACAATACATTTGCAGTGCTGGATTTAACCTTTAGTGCCTTCACACTTTGTCTGTCAGCTTGAGTCAGATAAAGTTTCAGCCTGCCTCAATAAATTGATATTCACTATTTATCACTGACAATATAATATATTTTCTCTAAGTTGAACTCAGTTTGTTGCAGAAATACTTTAGTACAGTGAGGAAAATAAGTATTTGAACACCCTGCTATTTTCTAAGTTCTCCCACTTAAAAATCATGGAGGGGTCTGAAATTGTCATTGTAGGTGCATGTCCACTGTGAGAGACATAATATAAAAAAAATCACAATGTATGATTCTTTAACTATTTATTTGTATGATACAGCTGCAAATAAGTATTTGAACACGTGTCTATCATCTAGAATTCTGACTCTCAAAGACCTGTTAGTCTGCCTTCAAAATGTCCACCTGCACTCCATTTATTATCCTAAATTAGATGCACCTGTTTGAGGTCGTTAGCTGCATAAAGACACCTGTCCACCCCATACAATCAGTAAGAATCCAACTACTAACATGGCCGAGACCAAAGAGCTGTCCAAAGACACTAGAGACAATATTGTACACCTCCACAAGGCTGGAAAGGGCTACGGGGAAATTGCCAAGCAGCTTGGTGAAAAAAGGTCCACTGTTGGAGCAATCATTAGAAAATGGAAGGAGCTAAACATGACTGTCAGTCTCCCTCGGACTGGGGCTCCATGCAAGATCTCACCTCGTGGGGTCTCAATGATCCTAAGAAAGGTGAGAAATCAGCCCAGAACTACACGGGAGGAGCTGGTCAATGACCTGAAAAGAGCTGGGACCACCGTTTCCAAGGTTACTGTTGGTAATACACTAAGACGTCATGGTTTGAAATCACGCATGGCACGGAAGGTTCCCCTGCTTAAACCAGCACATGTCAAGGCCCGTCTTCAGTTTGCCAATGACCATTTGGATGATCCAGAGGAATCATGGGAGAAAGTTGTGGTCAGATGAGACCAAAATAGAACTTTTTGGTCATAATTCCACTAACCGTGTTTGGAGGAAGAAGAATGATGAGTACCATCCCAAGAACACCATCCCTACCGTGAAGCATGGGGGTGGTAGCATCATGCTTTGGGGGTGTTTTTCTGCACATGGGACAGGGCGACTGCACTGTATTAAGGAGAGGATGACCGGGGCCATGTATTGCGAGATTTTGGGGAACAACCTCCTTCCCTCAGTTAGAGCATTGAAGATGGGTCGAGGCCAGGTCTTCCAACATGACAATGACCCGAAGCACACAGCCAGGATAACCAAGGAGTGGCTCTGTAAGAAGCATATCAAGGTTCTGGCGTGGCCTAGCCAGTCTCCAGACCTAAACCCAATAGAGAATCTTTGGAGGGCGCTCAAACTCCGTGTTTCTCAGCGACAGCCCAGAAACCTGACTGATCTAGAGAAGATCTGTGTGGAGGAGTGGGCCAAAACCCCTCCTGCAGTGTGTGCAAACCTGGTGAAAAACTACAGGAAACGTTTGACCTCTGTAATTGCAAACAAAGGCTACTGTATCAAATATTAACATTGATTTTCTCAGGTGTTCAAATACTTATTTGCAGCTGTATCATACAAATAAATAATTAAAAAATCATACATTGTGATTTCTGGGTTTTTTTTTTTTAGATTATGTCTCTCACAGTGGACATGCACCTACGATGACAATTTCAGACCCCTCCATGATTTCTAAGTGGGAGAACTTGCAAAATAGCAGGGTGTTCAAATACTTATTTTCCTCACTGTATATGTAGCACTGAGTCAGATGTTTCAGAAAGATGGTTATTGTTTATATGGAAGGAAGAATATTTTAAGATGAATTGATAATTTGTTAATATTTCTGGAAAATCAGACAGACAAATGTCAATTTCATCATATATCATAACTGAACATACAATTAAATATACATTTTTAACAGGGCTGGGCAAGTTAACATGTTATTATCGAGTTAACACATTAATTAATTAACGTGACATTTATTTTATCTCACGTTAATGCAGTTTTTATCATTATGATTATGAAAGTCCGTTGCTCACTGGCTGTGAATCCACATACAGTCAAACCATGGGTCACAGGAGGGGTGGGATGTTGATCAGCCTGCAAATCACCCACCCAAACAAGCAGCGAAGGGAGGCTTCAATGCAGCGTGTGGGAGAAGTAAGACAGCGCTCCGCGAGTAAACGGCAGGCGCTCTGTGGATAGTAACCATGGCAATGGCTTCTGTGCGCTACCCAACTGTAGCCTGTTTAACTTAAGTTAAAATTATACATAACTACCTGATAGGCCTTCATCTAGTTTTGTGGGGATGCTCTGCCATGCGAATTCCCTCCTGCTGATGTCCTATTTAATAAACAGTAATAGATTCTGGAAACTCACAAACAGTGAGGATCAGTCTCTCTTCCAATGATCTGTGCTCCGCGTCGCCTATAGAAAGTTCAAGACAATTTAACTTTGGAAGCTGGCGGGTGTGTACGTGAGGCAAACTGTCGCGACAGCTTTTTGCTACGCCTTGTGCTCGACAACCTCACCTCACTCTAACAGGGACACTTGCTACTGAACACAGACTGTTGATGCTGCTCCCTGATAAAAGAAAAATGTTTCTGCTGATACTGTTGCTCAGAAGGTGCCTGTTATGACGTTATGATCATGGGTCTGAACTCTGATGGTAACTTGTTTTAACAAGCTAGATAAAAGGTAATGCCCTGGCAGGGGGAAAATAGCGGTTTGATATTTGATTTGATTACATTAATGTTTAAGTTGATTTACAAGAAATATTTTATTGCTACTGTGTAAAGGGAATACTGCTAGTAAAAAGCACCTTGTTTGTTTAAAGAGTTTGCAAACCACATATTATTGCACTTTTGTGTATGTAGTAGTACATTTAATTTAAAATACACTTTAGAATTTACTATTCAATTTTGCACATAACAATGTGATTAATCGCAGAAAATCATGCAATTAATCACGATTAAAATGCTTAATTGTTGCCCAGCACTAATTTTTAATTTATACAAAAAAATAAATAAGTAAAAATAATGACAAGGTCACGTTGTGTCAACATTGTCCTTTTAGAGGTGCTCAGAAAAAAAAACAAGACGACAACATGAAAAAAGAAGAAAAGACAACATCAAGTTAACTTAATTACTTGAAGGAGGAATAAGAACACTTTCTATGAAGGTCATTGCTAAAAATTTTCATCTTATAACTTGGGAAGCAACTGGACAATTAATATTACTTATCAGCAGTAGTAGTTTTTCCTTGTTACATCTGAACATTTTTCGGTAACACTTTCTATGAAGGTCATTGCTATAATGACTTATGCATATATTTATAACACGATATAATGCGTCCATAAGACATTATAACAATTGTTATAATCTCTTACAAACATGCATTAGGCACTATAGCAAAGTTCATAATGTATTATGACCTTTTGATTTAATGTTTTATAACTAATAGTAATACCAGTTTATATCAATGTGCGGCAAGAATCTCCGACCATGTTCCATAACACATTATAACCACCAACTCTGCCTCGTTATAAACACACTTTAGTCACCATTTACAATTAGTGATATAAAATGGAATAATAGCTTATAGTAATGTTTAAAGTTATTTACCATGTCTTTGTTTGCTTTAGTGTTAAAATATCTATCCCTGTATAATATATTACATATTAATACTGTTAGCTAGCGCTAACTGCCTTCACTTTTCCAGCAGTTGTGGAAACAACAGATTTAACGGACACACTGTGACCTACACTGCACATGTCTGCCTGACTGACAACTTACGCAGTAACTTAAATATTTTCCTCCGCTAACTTTCACCGTCACATTCTGAGCAGCAGAACGAGGAGAACGTGAGGTGAAAGTTAGCAGAGGAAAATACAATATATATTTATATTATAAATATAAAGTTACTTAGTAAGTTGTAAGGCAGGCAGACGTGTGCAGGAAAGGTCATAATACATCCTGAACTTTGCTATAGCGCCTAATGCATGTTTGTGAGTGATTATAACAACTGTTATAATGTCTTATGGATGCATAATATCGTGTTATAAATATATGCATAAGACATTTTTACCTGGTTAAATACAATGAAGTCAAACAACTTACTAGTGACTCCAGTGATGCTCACTCCACTGCTTCTGGCGTTCTCAAACACAGAGTAGAGAGTGAATGTGTATTCAGTTCCAGCAGTGAGAGATGAGACTGTGTAAGTTACTGGTCCATCTCCATCTGGTGCAGTGATGTTGATCTCTGCATCATTAAACTGGAGAATAAAGCTGAAGCTGTTGTTCACTTTATTCCACTGCAGAGTGATTCTGGTCTCATCTTGTCCTATTGAAATGAAGTCTTCTGCGTTTGGAGGAGCTGAAAAAGACAAACAGAGCAGTGAAACATGTATTAACAAACGACAGTAAAAGTGACAGTTAAAGATGGTTCATTTTGTATCTCCACATAAATACAAACTAAAGCTGTCTGTCAGGAACAGTGCAAGTGAAACAATTCTTTGTATTACTAAGTATGAATGTTTTTTTTCTGGATCCAGATGTCACATTCTATAGTCATATCCATCAGACTTAATATCACAACAGAGATTTACTCCACTATGAATGAAGAATAACAATGCACCAAAAGTTGAAAAAAGTAAATATTCTTAAAGTAAACAATATTTTACAGTGTTGGCCAAAACATTGCTGAGTTAAATTAACATGCAATAAAGTGCATGTTGTTAAGTAGCACATTCCTTTAATGAATATTATACCCAGTAGATACGTCTTAGTTTTACACTGGTGCTCTGAAAAGCAGATGATGGCTCGCTAAAAAGATACAGAGCATAGAAATAAAGTGACATATATTACCGGTAACTGCAGTAATGTTTACTCCACTGCTTCTGATGTTCTCAAACACAGAGAAGAGAGTGAATGTGTATGTAGTTGCAGCAGTGAGAGATGAGACTCTGTAAGTTACTGGTCCATCTCCATCTGGTGCAGTGATGTTGATCTCTGCATCATTAAACTGGAGAATAAAGCTGAAGCTGTTGTTCACTTTGTTCCACTGCAGAGTGATACTGGTCTCATCTTGTCCTATTGATCTAAAGTCTTCTGTTTTTGGAGGAGCTGAGACAGAAGAAGAGAAGTGAATGAATTTATCAACAAACAAGTTTGCTTAAATATTTATTCATGCTCCATCTGGCTATTAAGTTTCATCCATTTTGTATGTTTTGTTAATAAAACCTAATAGTAGCTATGAGAGATACAATTATTTAAGACACATGTTTGAATTAGCAAGAATGTCACATTTTATACCTAAACACATTACGGTGTGCGTTTCACAGGACATATATAATGAACAATAATTATTAATTATTATCAATTATAATTAAAAATTCACAGCACTTAAAGTTGGACAACTATGGGGAAATAAAGGAGTTTAATATGTTGGCCAAAACAGGCAGTGCTGGAAAATGATGGTGGCCACAAAATGTTGACACTTTTGGCCCATCTTGGACATTTTCACTTAGGGGTGTACTCATTGTTGCCAGCGGTTTAGACATTAATGGCTGTGTGATGTCTTATTTTGAGGGGCCTGCAAATTTACACTGTTATACAAGCTGTACGCTCACGACTTTACATTGTAGCAAAGTGCCATTTCTTCAGTGATGTCACATGAAAAGATATAATCAAATATTTACAAAAATGCGAGGGGTGTACTCACTTTTGTGAGATACTGTATATAACTAAATTGCCTTAATGCAACAATGAATCTTTATACAGTATGTGAGTAGAAATAAGATGCATTACTTGTTGAGTAACAGATGAACGGTAAAGTGAGGGAGCAGTTATCATCTGACCACCATCCTGAGTTTCTGAACACTGTGGTGACACACTGCTCTGTGCTGTCTGGTTGCCCACTGGCCCAGTATTGAAACACAGAGGGGCTCCCATCAGACCACAATTGTTCCCAGTACAGACCGATCCACACAGAGTCAGAAGCTGCCAATTTTGCGATGGCATTATTTTCTCCCATATTACGTACACTGTGAGAGAAACAGTAGCATATACACATCATGGGTGAGTGGAGAATAATTGAAGAGGTAAAACATAACAGACAAAAAAAAAAGGAAAGAATTCACACTGCAGTACATCATATATAATATTACAGCTTATGTGTTTATTTAAGGATTTGGTAACGTGTTCAGTCACCTGGACAACGTAGCTGTTAATTAGCATCTTAAAGTCAGTGCAGAATAATCATCTTACAATTAAGATATACGATCAGCCCAATACTTCTGTCACTAATATGGTTTGTAATCATCACAATGATCATCATCATAATTATCATACTATGTGACTCAGCTACAAGTGCCATACATCCGTAAAACTAAAAATGAAAAATATATAACTATAAAACTATAATACATGTAAAACATTAATAATAAATCAACAAAAACAGGAAGGATTCAAATGACACAAAGTATCAAATACAACATTTGGACAAAAAATAAACAATAGGGAAGATCATCCAATCCTTTTGGGATTCCTATCAACTGTTAGAATACTGAATAAGCCAAGTTTCATCAACAGAACAGATAGTAGTTGTTAAGTAGTTGGTTCAGTACTGAACTATTGTATGTGTTGGAGTCTTCATCAGTGCACACTGTACCTGGCTAGATCGACGTAATTCTCCCTGCAGTATCTCTGAGCTTGAATCCAATTCAAAGGTGTGTTGACTTTTACAAAGGATGATTTGCCATTTACTGAACCTGGAAATATATTGAGAGAATTTATTAACAATGTGCTATGCAGAAGATCTATTTAGCCCTTTGTTAATTCTTACACTATAAGAAAACTCACCGTTGTAGCACACAGAGAAGAATTGGTAGTTGCAATCAACGTCCAACCACTTTCCAGTGTAGTCATAGAAGTAGTAATTGAAGTAGTAATAGTAATGGCTTTGAAGCATCACACATTTCTGTTGTCCGTAATCATACCCAGGATATCCAGGGGCCCAGTTTCTTAACCCTGTCTCTCCTTCACCATAGAAGCTGCTGTTACTCAGGGACCATCTCCAGCCCCCACCGTAGAGGCCTATCCAAGCCTTGCCTGTTCAAACAGATGTTCATTACATACAGCTGGAATTAAAACTGTTGCTGAATTGAAATAAAATGTAGATGAATAAACTGAACATCCCTTAATTTACATGTTTCCTCTATTTTTCATTGAGGGCCTTTCACATTCCACATGATCATACTTTATAATTTTATCTAATCATAGTAAGCTTATCAAAAACTTGGTTGTTTTCTGGTGGTTGTACATATGATTCAGTGTATATATATACACTATGTTAATGTTATGCACAGTGTGTGATTCCAATTTTAGAACTTGCCTGTGTAGCCTGATGAGCTGTAGTAGAGTACAGAATTGACGTCAGTATAGGTTTCTATGGTGGCCAGGTCAGTGTAGATCCGTCTGCAGAAGCTCTGAGCTGCAGTCCAGTTCAGTGGTGTACTCTCAAAGTAGTACTGACGATTTCCTAAAACAAAGCATATTTATTTGAGTTCAGCTGTACTGTGGGGTTTTACAATACAACTCACACTTTGGTGAGATTTTTGTGTGCTAGCAGCAGTCACTGTATCCTGACTACAGAGCCTGGAAACAATGGATGCTTCACCAAACTGAACTAAACAGCCCTGCTGGATTTAATGTTTAGTGCCTAAACACTTTGTCTATCAGCTTGAGTCTGATCAAGTTTCAGCCTGCCTCAGTAAATTGGTGTTCACTGTTTACCACTGACAATAAAAAAAGAACCAGTTCAATTACAAATATGTTTTCAGGATTTTCTGTATTGTCTCAGTTTATCAGAGAAATACTTACTGTATGTGCAGTACTGAGTCAGAAATGTTTTAGGAAGATGTCTGATTACATGAAAAGAAGAATATTCTAAGATGTATTGATAATTTGCTAATATCTCTTTAAAATCAAACAGGCAAACTTCAGTTTCATCATATATCATAGCTGGACATAAAATGAAGCATACATTTTGAATTTATACAAAAACAAAAATAAGTAAAAATAATAACAAGGACTGACCAGGTAACGTTATGTTAACATTGTCGTTTTAGAAGTGCTCAGAAAAAAAACAAGATAAGAAAACATCAGCAACAACAGAAGTTAATTACACGAAGAAGGAATAAGAAAAATGTTCAAATGTAACAAGGTTAAACTACTACTGCTGGTAAATTACTATTAACTGTTCAGTTGCTTTCAAAGTTTTAAAAAGAAAAATGTTATTCCAGGTTAAATACATATTAATGAAGTCAAACATCTTACCAGTAACTGCAGTAATGCTCACTCCACTGCTTCTGACGTTCTCAAACACAGAGAAGAGAGTGAATGTGTATCTAGTTTCAGGAGTGAGAGATGAGACTGTGTAAGTTACTGGTCCATCTCCATCTGGTGCAGTGATGTCGATCTCTGCATCATTAAACTGGAGAATAAAGCTGACGCTGTTGTTCACTTTGTTCCACTGCAGAGTGATACTGGTGACATCTTGTCTTGTTGGTCTGAAGTTTTCTGCGTTTGGAGGAGCTGAGAGAGACAAAAAGAACGACAGTCAGTAAAAGTGACAATGTTCAGTTACAGATGATTCATTATTTTTCCTCACATAAATACAAACTAAAGCTGTCTGTCAGGAACAGAGCGAGTGAAACAATTCTTTGTATTACTAAGTATGAATGTTTTTTTTCTGGATCCAGATGTCACATTCTGTAGTCATATCCATCACACTTAATATCACAACAGAGATTTACTTCACTATGAATGAAGAATAACAAAGCACCAAATGTTTAAAATAAAATAATATTAATATAATAAAAAATATTTTACAGTGTTGGCCAAAACAATGCTGAGTTAAATTAACATGCAATAAAGTCCATGTTGTTAAGTAGCAAATTCCTTTAATGAATATTATACCCAGTAGATACGTCTTAGTTTTACACTGGTGCTCTGAAAAGCAGATGATGGCTCGCTAAAAAGATACAGAGCATAGAAATAAAGTGACATATATTACCGGTAACTGCAGTAATGTTTACTCCACTGCTTCTGACGTCCTCAAACACAGAGAAGAGAGTGAATGTGTATTCAGTTGCAGCAGTGAGAGATGAGACTGTGTGAGTTACTGGTCCATCTCCATCTGCTGCAGTGATGTTGATCTCTGCATCATTAAACTGGAGAATAAAGCTGAAGTTGTTGTTCACTTTATTCCACTGCAGAGTGATACTGGTCTCATTTTGTCCTATTGATCTGAAGTCTTCTGTTTTTGGAGGAGCTGAGACAGAAGAAGAGAAGTGAATTAATTTATCATCAAACAACTTTGCTTAAATATTTATTCATGCTCCATCTGGCTATTCAGGTTGATCCACTTAGTATATTTTGTTAGGAAAACCTAATGGTGGCTATGAGAGAAACAATTATTTAAGGGAAGAATGTTGTGTCACATGATACACCTAACCACATCACAGCGTTCATTTCACAGGACATATATAATGAACAACAAAATTAAAAATTCATAGGATTTTAAGTTGGATAACTATGGGGAAATAAAGGAGTTTAATATGTTGGCCAATACAGTACATGATTTGAAGTAAAGAAGGAGGACGTTAGAAAAATCCATTTAGTTTTATACAGTCACACTAACAAGATTTTAAAATCATCAGGTTTTTTGATGTAACACACACAATGTAATTTGGTGCAACATGTTGACACAATCACTGACATAATTCCCAGTCATGAAAATAAATAAAAATAAAAGAACATTCTTGTTCCTGCTTTAACAGACATGTACACAAATTTAAATTCAATGTGAATCTGATCTTAAAGGTATGATCTACAATTTCTAATATATAACACACACTCCCTTAATGCAACAATGAATCTCAGTACAGTATGTGAGTAGAAATAAAATGCATTACTTGTTGAGTAACAGATGAACGGGAAAGAGAGGGAGCAGTTATCATCTGACCACAGTCCTGAGTTTCTGAACATTGTGGTGACACACTGCTCTGGACTGTCTGGTTGCCCACCGGCCCAGTTTTGAAACAGAGAGGGGCTCCCATCAGACCATAGTTGTTCCCAGTACAGACCGATCCACACAGCGTCCCCAGCTGCCAGCTTTGTGATGACGTTATTTTCTGCCAGATTTCGTATACTGCGAGAAAAACAGAAAAAAAATCAGACACTGCATTGTATTGTTAGTGATTGGTGGGAAATATAATAATGTAGTTTATGTGATTATTTAAGGGTTTGGTAAAGTGTTCAGCCACCTGGACAACGTAGCTGTTAATTAACATCTCAAAAACAGTGCAATGTAATCATCTTACAATTGACCCTTCGCTAAGCCACGGCCCAAATACACAGCTGACCAATCACAGCGCAGTATAGGACTCGTTCTAACTGAAGTCGCTCTCCATTGACTCTACTGAAAAACGAGTCGTTTTCTAGCCTTTTTTTGGCTGTATTTTTCCAAGATATGGTCAAACGCTGTTCCTGGGGTGCTACCCAGAGAGGCTGAAAGCCTAATTCTAAGATTCGATTTATTCACTTTCTAAAACCTAAAACAAATCCAGAAAAACGTCGGCTGTGGATTGTTCCTAATGTAATGTTAGTTAGCTAACGCTGCCTAATGTACTACTAATGTTATAAAGCCCTGCTGTTCTGCTTTTTAATGATTATAATAGTGAATAGAGACCTACCCAGCTGTACAGGAACAGTACATTAAGTATCCTTAATATCGTTGTCCTCTTTCTCAGCAGTCAGGTAAAATGGTGGTTCACTTTTACTCTGTGATCGGTAAGACTAAAGCTTCTGTATTTATTTTTTTTAGTGTCAGTTTGGCATAAAATGTGCTCAGATAGTAGTTGAAAGGCTGGTACTCAACATTAAGGCTACTATAAACTCCCCCCACATTAGTCCCACACTGCAAAAGGTGGAGCACTACATGACCAGTCCCTATAATACAAGATAGCAAGGGCGTAGGAGCGACTTTGAACCTGGGGGGGTGTGCTGATATCAGTGTTTCCCCTATATTCAGTCAGAAGCGGTGGTGCGGGCAGTGTATTCTGACATCAATGTTTTCACCTTTTCACTTGCACGGTGTGCTTGTAGCAGACCTAAAAATTTTAGTTATGCATTTTACTAAATTTCTGAGAATTGATACCCAATTATGAATTAATATTCATAAAATCAAAATTTCCTTGTTAAGGGCACCACCGGAGTTGTTATAATCCTAGAGTCTCCGGACCTCTAGGTAGTTTTGAATAATTATACAATTATTACTAGTGATCAGTTAGTTAATAATCGCTCAATTATCTTAAATCAGTCAGTCAGTCTCATATCTAAAGGGTCAATTCTCTTGGCAGGAACTATAAATAGGCAACACACACAGCTCTTGATTATATTACAGTGAATTTATTCTCTAACTAAGGTGATAAAAAGATTGTGGGAAGCATTTGACTCATACGGCATAGAAGAGCTAATGAAAGTAAACTAATGCTATAATTTAGGAGTTAAATGGACATCTGATCACAGAATGTGTGTTAAGTCTTACTGCTTGTCGACAGCCTGCTTTTGGCCTGTTGCACGGGTCCCACGCTAGCTGCCGATCCTGGCTTTTTGCTAGGGATTCTCCGGGGTTCTCCGAGTCTGATTGAAAACGCCTCCTCCGTCTGGCAATTCAGCTGTTTTCAGGTTTCCTTCGTTGTAGCTGGCGAGACCACGTGGCTTGGTCTGACCTCGGTGAAGTTGGCTCGACGAAAAAGGCTTAAAATGGAACTTGGTCGTTCCTGAATTAGTCCAGTGTAACTTAACGGACTGATAACTTTAACAAACAAAAGAAATAAAGAAAATAAAACAAACTGAAGGCAGATCGATGTCGCGGCACTTCAGGTGTGTAGCTTCAGAAGAACAAAAGCCTGTTTGTTTCGCTGGCCGAGTCTTTGCGTTGCCTGGCGAGGCACGCTGCGTGTGCCGAAGCGTCCAGCGAGCAGAGCAGAGTGGAAGAGCCAACAGCGAAGAGAGAGAAGCGAGGTCGCGTGTCGCTCTTTTGTTGTCTGGGGCGTGGTTCCCCAGGGGGTGTCTCAGGTCCCAAGGGACTGCCTTTCTAAACTTAATGTCTAAAGAAAAGAAATCTATTTGCACGTATTACAATCAAATATTTTCCACAATCGAACCTCAATGGTTGAACGGTTGTACTGTTCTAGGCATTTGGTAACAGGAAACAATAGTCATATTATTGGTCAGGATATTTATACATTTAACGGCATTTCCGATGAGGGCATGTAATACTTATTTCGTCCACTTGGGGGAGCTCAGGTTACATGAGGAAAGCTTGGATTAAATCAAAGATCGTCTCTCCTTAGGAACTGGGAATATTGTTGATTCATCCTTAAATTCAAGCTGGCGATTTAGAGTATCGTAAAACATTTCTTTGTCATCATTTCTAAAGGAATTTTGTAGGAAAGTATTATGAACAAGCATTGATTACATTAGATGAAGGAGTGTCTTGCTGAAAATAAAAACACTGCACAAGTAACTTCTTTTCAGCACTAATATCAACAACAGATAGCAACAACAGTTAACATAACTACTTAAACAGAGACAAACGTAATCAGGTAACTAAAGATTTAATTAACTCAATTAAATGCTTTGAGTCTTTGGAGACTGCAGTCCTTTTACATTGAAAGTTCAGTGTCTGGACCATGTCACACTTGGGTGGGACAGGGGTTTTCCTTTTTGATGTGGTAATAAAACAAAGAATAAGGTCAGTTGCCACGGAAACGTGTGTGGGGGGGCGAGTTTTGATAGGCTGTTCAGGGAGATGCCAATGGCTGGTTCATGTCCCTTTCAGTTTAACACTCAGGCCCCGCGTTATCAGCTTCGGAATCAAAAAGGTGCCAGTTTTACGGTCGGGATAGCACTTAGAGAAAGCAACTTTGACCCCTCCCCTTCTTCTCTGGGGAGGAGAAAGGAATTTAGGGTAGCTCCAAATTTATTCAATGTAAAATGTACAAATCCACACCACTACATGCTGCTCGCACTCTAAAGAAGCATTTAACGCAACACTAAAGTTTTGGCTAGCTTCCTTTCCTCGTTCTTCAAAGAACATCCACATAACAGGTGCTGTTAAGAGCATGTAACTCCGGTATGAAATCGGGAGGTGCGTAGCGATTGTTTGATTGTCCGAGCAGCAGAAAGTGAAAGTGAATGCCAGTGGAGGAAAATATTCTCCCACTAACTGTATGTTAAGACAAGGGGGCCAAGACCAAGAAACGTCTCTCTGTTTTTTCCTAAACTGCTGGAAAAGTGAAGCTGGTTAGTGCTAGCAAACGTCTCCCCTCACATTCAGACTATGCAGCTGAGCAGGAATGTCTTTTGGCTGCTATGTAACGTGTTAAAGGAAGAAGGCTAACTAGTATGGTGGTGGTTGTGTTAGTCTTGGTCAGGGGTTTGGGGATCTTCCCCCAAGAAAATGTTCAGTTTTCCAATGAAAAATATGTAATTTCATATCATATTCGACCATTATTTTCACCATATCTCTGAACACATAGTTGGAAAAGCTAGAGCACATAATAAATAAACAACAACCAAAGATCAGTCTACTAGGGAGGAACTACAACCAGCTACCAGTTACTTTCTATAAATCCATGGTAACTTATGCTGAAGGCTAACCTGCTCCGGAGCAGGTTATGTTCCAGAAAAGAGATTGACTCTGTGAAAACGCCACCTACTGACCAATCAGCTCTCTTGGAAAATGACATCACCATCTGTAGGAAATCCCACAGACTGTTTTAGCCAATAGGCTGCTTTATGTTTGCAGCGGTGATGTGGAGAAACTCTTGACTATGGCGATCCTACAGAGACTGATTAAAAGCCTTAGGCTAATGTTGCCTACAGGTTTTTACAGTACAGCAGGATCAGCCTACTTACTGCCTTTAAATGTGTTTAATATTTGCTCCCAGTCTGTTTCACACACCCTGACGCAGCCGTTAAAATAAATGGGTTTTATTTTTCTTATGAGGCTGAATATTATGAGCAGTTTGGTAGGGATATTGAAATACTGAATTTTAATATGAACGTAGGCTATCTATCTAGGTTCGTAAGGCCTACTATAGAGACTGTAGTCATGTTCCGTCCCACGTTTTGCGATGAGGGTGCAAAAGGTGGGACGTGAGCTTGCAGCAGCCTAAATGTTGAGATTCAGTCTTTCAAATATTATTTGAGCACATTTTATGGCATGAATGGAGTTTTTGTTTCATTGCTTTATGAACTTAATTTAGAACAATGTTTGGAACACAGTGTGTTAAAAAAAATTAATCTCATTTCTGAAGTTTTTTTAAAGTGAGGGAGAACGGCCCGAGTCTTTTAATGTGGAAATGCCGACACACAGCCGAGCTGAAAGAATAAGGCTGATATTTTCATACAGCTCATGAGAACACTTTTTATCAACGCATTATTAGAGACTACACCTGTTCATTTAGATATTCACACTGTCAGCAACTTTCTGTCTCCCTGCATGTGTCAGATGCGGGCGTGCTACTGTCGTATTTCTGAAGTGTTAAAGTTTAATCCTCGTTCGTAAAATATGACGCTCTGATGACAGTGGACTTAGTCATCTGCTGCTAACACCGCCTCTTTTATGTGAACACTTTCCGGCTGGATTGGGAAACCCTGGGCTGATTTACCGAGATGATAACCAGCTTCGTGGTACCGCTTATCCCTATCACGATTGTTAGGCTTAGTGAAGTCAGATAACGAAAACATATCCTGGGTTTGTTGAACTAGCTTCGTGGTACAGACCCCAGGTATGTGTGTGTGTGTGTGTGTGTGTGTGTGTGTGTGTGTGTGTGTGTAGCTTAATTTGTAATATTATTTTAAATAATTTATTTATACAACAACAACCTTTATTTTTTTATAAAATACAGCAAGAACGTGTCACACACTCAGTGCATGAAGTAAAAAAACTGGTTAGAGCCAGCTGACGGTTTAAAAAAGAAAAAAAAATCTCCGACAGGCAGAGACGCAACACGAGTGGCATTCTACCAAGCACCACGTCTGAACAAACCCCACGTTTACCAGAACTCTACTGGTTAATAAGTAAGTAGTACTACAAACCAAAGTAAAAAACAGACACCCTAAACGTTAACGGAAAAG